GACTCCACTCTGTCTGCAAGTTTTCCAAAAGGTCCCACCGCAAAAAGGATTACCATCTGGCTGAGTTTCATAATGCAGCTATTTTCTCGCTTATTTTACCTCTGAAACCGGGCGACCCCACTTCTTTAAATCGTAAATATCTCGACTTCTAATCTCTGAAGTCAAGCTATCCTACTTCCTTCAATTGCAAATTGCTCGACTTTCATTAAAAGTAGATGAGTATTTTTAAAGCGATAGATACACACAAAAAACCCAAGGTTTATGATGACGCCAACAATCCCACATGCCCGAAAATGGACGAGCACACGATTCCACGGTATTGTGATACATAGTGTGTCTAGTGGTTGAAGATCATTTGATATCTTTGGTGAAGTGCCTCAGGAAGGATAATAAATGTTCCTGGGTCATTCTCCCGGTGGCTTTTGAGTGGCTTTCCAACAACAACAACAACAACAACAACAACAACAACAACAACAACAATAAGAACAAAATAACAACAATAATATAAACAACAACAACAACAACAACAACGTTATCAACAAAAATAACAACAACAGCAACTACAAAACAGCAGCAGCAGCACCACTACCCCCACCCCACAACAACAACAACAGCAACAAAAAACAAGGTGCATTTGATCTTTTCAACCGGCTCCCACTTCCAGGTCCGCATCATCAGTGAGCCATGGCTGGCACAGCGGGTGTGACCGGGGGTACTGGCGGGGGGTGTCCCAATGACTCCACTCAGATCAAGTACGAGAAGCGGATCCAGTGCTTGTGTGCGCAGCTCAAGAACTACCAAAAGCAGATGGATGGGGTGAGTGAACATGACAGGTCTGTCTTGGTGTGTGTGTGAGTGTGTGTGTGTATGTGTGTGTGTGTGTGTGTGTGTGTGTGTGTGTGTGTGTGTGTGTGTGTGTTTATATGTGTCTATGTGTGTGTCTATGTGTGTGAGTGTGTGTGTGTGTTTGTGTGTGAGCGCGTGTGCGTGTGTGTGCGTGTGTGTGTGTGTGTGGAAGGGGGTGACGTTGTTGCTGTTGTAGTTTATGACTCTGTCTCTTTGTTGGTGTTATTGTTGTTGTTTTTGTTGTTGTCGTCGTCATCGTTGTTGTTGCTGCTATTGTTGTCGGTGGTAGTTGGCGTTGTGATGTTGTTGTTTTGTTGTTCTTGTTGTTATTGCTTTTGTTGTCCTCGTTATTGTTGTTGCTGTTATTTTTGTTACAGTATTGTTGTCGTTGTTGAAGTTGTTGATGCTGTAGTTATTGTTGTTGTTGTTGTTGTTGATATTGTTGATTTGTTGATGTTTTATTGTTGTTGTGGCTTTGTTAAAATTTTTGTCGTTAGCCTGTACTTAAATTGGGATCGGAGTTCGCTGTATTTTTAGAACGTCTGCTATTGCTGTAAATTTTGTTGTAAGTCTGTTGTTGACAGATATTTGTTGTTGTGTTTGTGTTGCCAATGTTGATCATTTAAGCTGTTGTTGGATATTTATTGTTGTATTTAGTGCAATTGTAGAATGTCTTTGGTGCTGTTGTAAATGTGTGGATCTGTCTTTTCTTTCTGTGGGATTCTTTCTTGTATCTTTAACGTTCTCACTGAACCTTTGTTGTTGTTGTTATGTAGGTTAGCTTTCGCTGTATTTGTTATGTTTTTTTTTCGTTTTGATTGCTCTCATGTGATCTATTTTGTTTCAACATCTTTGTTTTTCTTGTATCTCCACTAAAGCCGTCAGTCGGGACAAAATGAGCCGACCTAATGTGGTATTGAACCCAATATAAGTGTCTTAAAGATCATCACCCATTTTCTTTGATAACAAAAGCAAACCGAAACACACACTGTTGACGAACCGTAATTGGCACACTTACCCCCAATACCCTCCATTTAACTCCAGTACCATCCATGTGTCTACTACTATGGCATTTGCGGCTACTAACTATCGATAGTAACCCTGAAGGTTTTTCTCCCCCCCCCCCACCAACTTCTCTTTATTACTTCTTGAGAAAAGCAGTGGGAATACGCCGTTTCCATTGGTCGTCAACTCGGTCGCATTAACTGTTTGGTAAGCCGAGACTTGTACCGGCGAGGCAATTAAATTAATTATGGGCAGTCCGGTCATTGCCTTGTTTTCACAATGGGTTTGTTAACCTCTCAGGGGATTCTGCAGCTAATAAGATAACAATTGTGGTTGAGTGGAACGAAGTTGAATGTTGTAGGTGAGGATATTTATTTTCCCATAAAGATCAATCTACAGCTCTGTCAAAATTTTTGAAGCTGTCCAGGAAGATTTACGCTTGAATATATATTACAATATCACAAAGAAATACGGACTTTTCGTGGAAAAACAACCAAAAGGTTTCTGTTCTTTTTCGCCTTCTTCTCTTAGCCAGCAAAGATTGCAGGGCGAAGAGTAAACCTCCTAGGTTAAATCCAGATAAGGAGTGAAATTCCACATGGCTTGCGAAGTTGGGAGTTCATTAAAATGTTTTATTTCCGTGACTAATGCTGAAATTGAGACTTTTGTCAACTTTCCAAAGATATACAGATCGGCGTTTGTGGTGTTGCGGATAGGCGCTTATGTAGCAAGCTGGAAACAGATTCTCGAGTGGGGAGACATTTTTTATCGAGTATCTTGGTCTCCCTGCTGGGATGTTATATTATTATCTCTCAGCCCGGGTTGGCCATGACAGGCAGGGCCAGAAGCCCGTCTCCTGACTTAGCTAAATTATGTCGAAGGTAGGGTAACAGCTGCCTTAAAAGTAAGAGATCTACAGGGGTTCGCAGTTGACCATGTGACTAGATTAGAATGCAGAGTAGCTAGGATGTTAAACCTCACTCCAAGATCAAGCAGCAGTGCAAATGCTACTCTACAATATTCAGAGGAATAGAGAGAAGAGAGAGGAAGGCAAAAATAAACGATGAACAAACAACAGTGTTACTAAGTGGACACGAAAGCCTTTTGCATAGATTAAAGCACTTTCTCAAGACAAGGTAGAGTGGATCAGTTTGATTCACATGTCGTCAAATCAGCGCCCCGAGAGACTCTATCAAAGGTTAAGGGTATGAATAAAGAACAGGAGGGGAGACACTGAACACGAAAGAGGAAGAGAAAAATAAGGCGAGTGAGGTGGAGGAAAAGGAGGAAGTGCAAAAAAGAGGGGGAGGGGTGATAAGGACTACTGCTATGAAAGGAGGAAGGGGTAGAGCAGTAAAAAGAGAAAAACAACAACAGCAATCACGATAAAATCAGCAATAATAATAATAATAATAATAATAATAATAATAATAATAATAATAATACAAATACTACTACTAATAATAACAATAATAATAATAATAATAATAATAATAATAATAATAATAGCAATAGTAACAATAATAATAATAATAATAATAATAATAATAATAATAATAATAATAATAATAATAATAATAATAATAATAACAAGATACAGACTCGTTCTACAAATGATGGTTTAGTGATGGGAAAGCAGAGCTGGATATCGAGATTCTATAGAGCGGTCAAAAATTCGTGGCGCTATTTATTGTCAAAATATCTCCTCAACTAAGGAACTTAAATTCTCCAGCTTTTGCAGAGTAACTTGTATCAATTTGTCTTAACAAATAAATATTTTTGTGAAGACCTATTAGCTCTTTTTTTAAAAAGATTCCTTAATAAATACTAACAAAAAATCATAGTGAGTTGTTTTTACTGATTTTAAAAGGTTTACAGCTAGGACAATATCGCTTTTAAAAGCAAGTCCGTCATTTTTTTTTCTACTTTACTTTTTTTCGCCGCTTATACCCTTTTGGGTGTCGCGGGAAGAAAGAGACGTCTCTCTATCGCCAGCGGGAGAGCTCGGGTCAGGGGGATGCCGTGGGTGGTTAATGTTTTCCTGACTCCATCTATCCAGGTCTTTCTCGGTCGCCCTCTAGCCTTGTTGCCATCGAATTTTGGGATGTAGGCACGTTGTGCTGGATGGTGTGTTGGTAATCGTAGGTGATGTCCGAACCATTTGATTCTTTGGTGTTGGATGTGATGATTGACATCATTTGTGCCCAACATTTCTCGGATTACTGATTTTCTAATTTTGTCTCGCCTGGTCTTGCTTACTGCTTTTCTAAGGCACTGCATTTCACATGTAGTAATTCTTTGCTCTAATGTCTTGTTCGTGGTCCATGTTTGGCATTGATAAGTGAGTGTTGGGGTGAATATGGTGTTGATCATTTTGAGTTTTGTTTTCAAGGGGATGTTAGAATGTTTCAGTAGTGGAGTAAGCTGGTAACTAACATTATTGGCCTTTTGTACTCGTCTTTCAATTTCTCTGTTCAGTCGCCCATCCTCTGTGAATATACTTCCAAGGTACTTAAATTCTTGGAACTGTCTGAGACTGCTGTTGTTGATGTGTATCCTGAGTGGTTCTGGCTTTCGGCTTATTTTCATTGTCTCTGTTTTGTTGATGTTGATCTTCATGTCGTAGTTGTTACTTTCTTCGTTTAATCTGGTGGTGTGGTGTTGGAGACTTCCTTCATCTTTGTGTGCCAGGCTTTGGTCATCAGCGAAGAGTAATTCATTTAGGGTGTCTGGTTCGTTGTTTTTTTCTAATCGCGAAATTCCCTTTGTTGAACTCAATGTTTTAAGAACTTTTAGTGCAAAAAGTGTTCACTAGAAAATTAATTTCTTGTAACTCGCCTTGCCACTAAAAAGTGTCATTGGTGAGCTGTGACGTAGTCCTTATGCGTATACAAAATGTGTGCGAGGAGCGGGAAGTGCTGTGAACAATCTATTTTCCGTGTGAAAGAGGTTTTTAGTATTTTATATAAATTTATAAAGAAAAGTTGTTTAATCTAGCTTCAATTGTAATGGAAAAATATGATTAAGTTAAGACAAATTGAGAAAAAGTGCTGTACAAGTTATGGGTGACATTCATTCACCAGTTAAAAAAGATATTTGTGTTCTTACCGGTCAATATCAGTCATATGAAGGAAACTTCAAAACTGAGTTAACATTATTTTTAAAAACTATCACCTTTTCCCTACAATCTAAAACAACAGTGAAGTAAATATTACCATATTTGAAGAAAATACAGAACTTTTTATTGTGCTACATGAGGAAATACGAAAAGGAGTTGTTTACTATTGCCATAGATGTTCAGGGGTCTATGGTTTCGGCTCACTTTCATAAGTTCTATTTTTGATGTGCTTATTTTCGTGTTGAATTTCTCACAGGTGTTATTGAGTTCGGTAGTTTGATTTTTGAGGCTTTGTTGGTCATGCTGAATAAGACATTGGTCGTCTGCGAACAGAAATTCATTTAGGATTTCTGGGCTTTGGTTTGCTTCTTGCGTTATTGTGTCACAAAAGGGGAGATAGAACGCATCCCAGTCGTACTCTAGATCTTACTTTGAACCAGTCTATATTGCTTCCTTCTTTCTTACTGAGCTTCTGCTGTTGGTATATAGAGCTCTGACATTATCTAACATTTGTCCTCTGACGCTATACTTTTCGAGTGACTTCCAGAGTTTTGCATGGTTTACTTTGTCAAAAGCCTTCTCCTGGTCTATAAAGACGATGTTGAATTCTTTGTTGTGTTCGATTGTTTTCTTGCATATCTGTCGTAAAGCGAATAAGGCATCCGTGCATCCTCTTCCCTTTCGGAATCCAAACTGAGCTTTGATCAGATTTATCTCTACAATATGTCTTATGCGCTGCTCTCGTATCTTAGCATACATTTCCTGAAGGGCTTAACAATGAGATGCCTCTATATGTTGTGCAGTCGCGTTTGTTGCCCTTGTTTCCATAATGGTACCCCTATGGCTT